ACATTCATACAGCACTCTACTACACACATTCATACAGCACTCTACTATACACACATTCATACAACACTACTACACACACATTCATACAACACTACTACACACACATTCATACAACACTCTACTACACACACATTCATACAGCACTCTACTACACACACATTGGATGACTGCTCTAAACACTCAGCCACAGCTGCCTTATAAAAGGAAACTCAAAACATTTGATGTGGATTAAACAGTTTGAAGAAAGTGTCACCAAATACTAAGAAAAAAACGTAAACTTTGACGTTGAAGAACGTGATAGAAATCTCGGTGTCTTTTTTACATACAGTGTGTTAACATTGTGTTTATGTAACTTTCTCATAGAAACCCATTTTAAAATGGCTGAACAGACCTTTTAGTTCTGCCTTGAGTCATCAGCTGAAGCATTTAGATAGTTTATTGATACAGGAGCAACAGTTAACTGACCAGAGTGAAACATTTGACACTTTTCTTTCTGTGTTAAAGTTCAACGACTCCTTGGTTGTGCTCAACGGCATGGACAGAGATCCAGCTGAGCTTTTTGTCCACATTAGTTTCAGTTATTTAGTTACAGTTTAAACTGTGTCAGCACCACAAATCTATGTACAAAATGGCACCAAAGGTCGCACAGTATTCCTGTTTTTAACAGTCATGAAAACAACAATGACAACCAAACACACTCCAACTAAATAAGACTGAATGTTTCATGAGTTCATGTGACCTGGACGTGTCTCAGCTAAACCAAAAACCTTCTTCAAGTCATGACGGCTCATCAAAGTAACATTCTGCCCTACCAGTGAAGACAAATTATAAATATATTAAAGCATAAGAAACAGAACAAAGATGCTGAATTATTTATGATCTAAGACTAAACATTTGGTTTTCTTACGTCTATCAGTAAGTTTTTATCTGAGCTGTAATGCAATTAAACCTTAATGTTTGGTGCAAAATATTTAGGTAGGAGTTACAGAAGAACAGAGGTAAATTTGTTTTCTTGTCTGAGGCAGCGCAGAGTGACAGATCCTGGTGAGTGGAGAGACATTTTATCCACCACAAGGAGCAGTGGTGGAGCCATGGGATGGCCAATGGTGGCCTTGACCACCATAGATTAATCTTGGGCCACACCAGTCATTTGAGGAATCTACTCTTTTAAGCAATATAAACACTAGAGAGCAAAGCTCCTCAAAAGACAGAGGTGACTGGTTTGCGTATAAATATGGTGGTGGCCATCTTGGATTTTGAACAACCCAAACCAACTTTTGATGTTGCCCTTTTTATGGATAGATGCCACTACACACCAAAATCGAAATCAACATTTGACTTATTTTTCAAACCATGCAGTTCACAAGACAGAAGGACATATATGGCAGTGGCCATCTTGGATTTTAACTTTGTATCCCCATTTTTGAAAGGAATATCTCTTACGCCCACATGAAGTCACAACAAATGGAAGTCTGTACCTCACTTATTTTTCATGTTGTCATGCTCACAACGTGCACATATGGATGTACAAACAGAAGGGTATTTCCAATTCTCCCTCCGTCCCCCGAAGGGGACAAAAACTTGTACTGTGTCCAGACTAATTACAATAAGCTAAATCAGTTAATAACTTCCTGTTTACATCCAATCACTGTAGCATTAATGGTGCTTGGACTGTTTTGTGTGTGCGATTAAATTACTGCGTTACAAACTGACAGAAGGAAGAAAACAACTCTACTGTTGTGATTAATAACACGTTTTATGTGGGAGGAAGCCATATTGGATTTTGGGGTCGAGGCTGGTCAGAAGTCTCAAATTTTTTCCAGTCGAATTTTGAGTGGAGGGGCAGTTAAAATGAGATTTCCCACCTACAAATAATAAAAATATGACCTTCAAGTACAAATGAAATGTACCATTCAACAATAACATTACATTAAAATACAGAGAAAAAAATCTGAGCTTGGTGAAGATCATAAAACTGTTGTAGCTTGCCCCAAATTAGGCCGTTTCTTCTTATGTCACAGCCAGCATGGAGGGTTTGTTTACTGGTTGTGCTGTGCCCAAAAATAAAATCATCTAGATCTTCAGTATTTAAAAACTCAAACTGAGTCACAGCTTGTTCACCTTCCAGAACGATCGTAATGTTTCATATTCAGCACTTTGTTTCCAGGGAAAGGAGGAGATAAAGTCCTGTTAGATATGTTCAAACGCTCATTAGCATTAGATGCTGCAGTCAGGGATGGCTTTAATTTTTTGCACAGGCTGAAACAAGTTCTGGCATGTTGGGTTGGTTGAAACTCAACTGATAAACTTGTGCATGTATTATTTATGTCCAATGACATGATTAATGTAAAAAACAGACCAAGTGTTGATTAGCTCTTGGCTCATTTAAAGCCATCCGACACATCAGAAATGTTTCACCTCACAGTGAACAAACTGTACATTAAAATGAAATAAAAATTAGACAAGTCTTTTTTTAACTACTGAATGTCTATCTTAAAATAGTTTATAGGTTTTCTGCATATTTCTTTGTCTCCTCTTGTTCTGCTTCATGGTGGAAGTGTCAAAGTAGGTGACCATCGTGAAGTTAGCCTCGCAGAAGATAACCCTGTCCTCCAGCGGAGCTGCCACCTCCTCATTGGCCTCCAGAAGCTCCTCGGAGTCAATGCCACCTCTTCAATGACCTCCAGAAGCTCCTCGAAGTCCACCTTGAATATCTGCCACAGGTCGACTGGGGAAAGAGAACAATTAAATATTTAACAGCTCTAAATCCATCCATCCATTATCTTTTACCCACTTCTTCCTTATCTGGGTCGCAGGGGTCACTGGTGCCCATATCCAGCAATGCGAGTGGGTGCGAGGGGTGGGGTACACCCTGAACAGGTCTTCGGTCCATCACAGAGACACATAGAGACAAACGAGACAAACAACCATTCACTCTTTCACTCTCAGGGACAATTTAGAGTTACCATTTAGCCTAACATGCATGTTTTTAGTCTGTGGGAGGAAACCGGAGTACCCGGAAAAACCCCATGCTGCACAGAGAGAACATGCAAACTGCTCCCAGAAAGTTCTCGGGCTGGGATTTGAACTGGCCACCTTCTCGCTGAGAGGCAACAGCTCTACCAACTGCTCCACTGTACCACCCTACCGCTCTAAATATATATTTATTCACCTATTTTATTGTGCATGTGTGTGTGTGTGTGTGCGTGCGTGTGTACGCGTGGGTGTTTGTGCATGTGTGTGTAACACCTTAACATGGACTGAGGAAGGATCAAATGACAAATGCTCCCATTGGAAGAACACCTCTTTTTTTCTAAACTATCAATACGACTTTTTGGGGAAAATATATTGTTTTTACTTTAATCAGCATTGTTTACTGTTTACTGCGTATACCCCATTAACTGTATTTGGGTACTGAGTGTGTAGGGAATGGACAGGTTTCTAGACAGAGACCAAAATAGCAGTTTTTGGTTCAAAACAGAATGGAATGAGATTTTCCAGGATGGAAAAGTAGATTCACTGATAAGACACTGGTAGACTCTGAGAATTCATTTCATTTTCATTGCATTTATTTATTTCTATAGCGCTTTACACACCACGGTGATGGTGACCAAAGCGCTTAACAAAAACAGCAATTAAAATGACAAGTTAAAAGCAAGAAAAACACAATAAAATAACAAAAAGAGAACCAGCAATGTCACCACATATTTAAGTACTAAAAGCCTGTTGGAATAAAAAAGTCTTAAGCTTCAATTTAAAAGGGCCAAGTTCAGTAATCTGATCAAGTGAGAGCTTATTCCAAAGTCGAGGTGCGGCCACAGAAAAGGCACGGTCACCCCAGAGTTTATATTTGGTCCTTGGAACAGAGAGCAGGAGCTGTCTGACCTCAGAGACCTGGAGCAGGCGGGGAAACTTAACAACACTGTTATATAAGGAGGAGCGAGGCCATTCAGAGCTTTAAAAACAAATAATAAAAGTTTAAAATCTATTCTAAAATGGACAGGAAGCCACTGTAGTGAGAATAAAACAGGTGTGATGTGGTCCCGTCTAGGAGTGTTGGTTAAAAGGCGAGCTGCTGCATTTTGAACAAGCTGGAGGCGGCTCAGTGATGACTGAGGTACAACGACATACAAAGCGTTACAATAGTCGAGTCTAGAACTAATAAAAGTATCGTTCTAGTATTAGTAATGTATTAGTAAAGTAGTATGCAGTTTACTTAATACTTAAGTATTCTGCCCACCGACCCACAACATCCCGAATTGAGGTCAGCAGCACACCACCTCCACTATAAATAGTGTTGGTGGTGTACCGCTTTCCCTCAAGACACTGGATGGTGGACCAGAATCACCTCAAAGCCGTAAGGATGTCATTCTCCATGGCCTCTCCGAACTCCTCCCACGCCTGAGTTTTTGCTTCAGCAACCACCCGAGCTGCATGCCGCTTGGACTGCCAGTACCCATCAGCTGCTTCTGGGGTACCACAGGCCAAAAAGGCCCAATAGGACTCCTTCTTCTTGACAGCATCCCTCACTGCTGGTGTCCACCACCGGGTTCGAGGGTTACCACCGCGACAGGCACCGACAACCTTGCGGCCACAGCTCCGATAAGCCACCTCGACAATAGAGGCGCAGAACATGGCCCACTTGGACTCAATGTCCCCCGCCTCCCCCGGAACGTATTCAAAGCTCTCTCGGAGGTGGACGTTAAAGCTCCGTCTCATGGGATACTCTGCCAGACGTTCTGAGCAGACCCTCACAATACCTTAGGGTCTGCCAGGTCTGACCAGCATCCTCCCCCATCATCAGAGCCAACTCACCACCAGGTAGTGGTCAGTGGACAGCTCCACTCCTCTCTTCACCCGAGTGTACAAGACATGCAGCCGCAGATCAGATTAGACGACAACAAAGTCGATCATCGAACTGTGGCCTAGGGTGTCTTGGTGTCAAGAACACATGTAGACACCCTTAAGCTTGAACATGGTAATGTAGTGGACTAGGCCTCCGACCAAAATCTGCCTCTGAAGACCTTCATGGGACAGGAACTGTTATTTCATTGATATGAATCCAGAAATACAAATTAGCTCATCCAGAGACTGTCTAATTGTATCCTGAAGTAATCAATTGAAAGAACACTCTCTTTTTTATATTATCATTACTATCTTACAATATCTTGATAATCAAAAGTGTGTTTAGTTCATACCATTTCTAAATGTTGAAGTGAACCACTCATTTTAAATCAACTGTGAAACAGTATTAATGATTTTTTAATCATCATTTAAATTAGAAATCAAGTTAAATGTCTATTTTACAAAGTAATTATGCATTTTTGATCTTCTGTCTGAAATGAGAAGTAGTGATCTCGGTCAAAAGTCGGAGACAGTCAAAAACAAGTTGTTAGAACGGGCTGTCGTGTTTTTAAAACTCTCAGACAGTAAATAAGAAAACTGGCACCTGCAGTGTTTCTCACTTCGTCAAAACATTTCTCTGTCTGTTCCTAAAACATTCTTGCTGTTTTCTTGACTTGTAAAAACCCTCTGACATCACTAGAACCACACCCCAGTTGGTTGCTTCAACCAATCAGGACTTACTAAAGTGACCGGAAGCAGAACTCTTTAAAAGTCGACACTTCCTGGAACTATTAGTTTTCTGAGGTTCTGTGTAGTAGTTCTGGAGTGAAGTTCTGTTCTTCAGCTCTAGCTGTTCTGGAGTTCTGGAGTTTTTCCACTGCTGAGTGGAACTTCATACTCAGTTTTCCAGTCTGATGGAGTCATCCATCTCTGCTGTGGTCACGGCGCCTCGCCGTGACTATCACTAGGCGAATGCCCTACAACTTCTGAGGAAGTTTGTTCTGTTGAACGGAGTATCTCACGACTTCTGCCGAGTCGCAGCCGCCCTGAGGAGATGCTGAAAGGTAGCGTGCCAGGGACCTCTTGACCGTAGCGGACCCATCCTCTGCCAAGGTAAAGAGTCGTCACGAGCTTCGCAATGTAGTGTACCGCGGGCGAACTGCGTTCGAAAGGAGCGTGTTGTTCTGTTCTACAGACATACATCTTCCTTCAACATCTCCCTTTAAACTCCTCCATATTTCCCATCTTTAAAACTCTTCTATCTTGCCAGTAATTAATCCAGATGCCTTCAGAAATGTCTGTTGTTTTAATTAAGTAAAATGTGGCAAGTTTTATTAATCAGAACCAGATCAGTCTAATCAAGTGTACAATGTTTTGATGTTAAATTTTGATTCTGTGCAATAAATGACCATTTATTTTGATAGGTCAAAGAAAATTAACGTCTCATGTCACTGATTAAACCATCTACGCACAGTTACCTCTGTCACATGGCTGTAATTAGCTCGAAAAAGAGAGAACCCATTATTTAAATATAATTGTAGTGAAGCTCCGAAGCTAACCTAGCCCATAGAACACTACATTAAATAATAATAATAATAATAATAATCATTTTATTTTAAAAGCGCCTTTCATGACACCCAAGGACACTTTACAGTAAGAACAAAGATCAACAGGAATGAATTACATAAAGAATATAAAATACATACAGAATATAAAATGCATAAAGAATATAAAATACAAAAAGCAAAGTTAAGGATAAGCGAGTCTAAAGAGATGTGTTTTCAGAGCAGTTTTGAATATAGAAAGAGAGGTGGTGTTTCTTAAGTCAGGGGGTAGAGAGTTCCAGAGATGAGGAGCAGAGCAGGTGAAGGCCCTGCTCCCCATGGTGGAGAGGCGGGCAGAGGGTACATGGAGGTATAGTGAAGAGGAGGATCTGAGAGAGCGAGAGGGGATGGAGATGTGTAAGAGGTCAAATAGGTACGGAGGGGCAAGGTTGTGGATAGCTTTGAAAGTGAGAAGAAGAATTTTGAAGACAATGCGTGATTTAACCGGGAGCCAGTGGAGCTGCTGCAGGACTGGAGTGATGTGGTTATAGGAGGAGGTTTGAGTTATGACACGGGCAGCTGAGTTCTGGACCAATTGCAGCTTCTGGAGAGATTTGTTGGGGAGGCCATAAAGAAGGGAGTTGCAGTAGTCAATCCGGGAAGTCACAAGACTGTGAACAAGGATGGCTGTGGAGCGGGGTGTGAGAGAAGGGCGGAGACGGTTAATATTTCGGAGATGGAAATAGGCAGACCGAGTGACGTTGTTGATGTGTGAAGTGAAGGAGAGAGTGGTGTCGAGGATGACACGAAAACTCTTGACCTGAGGCGAGGGGGATAGCAGAGTTGTTAAGGGGGATGAGAAGATTTTCTGATTTTGAAAGAGAGTTTTTGGTACTGAAAAGAATGAGTTCTGTTTTGTTACTGTTTAGTTTTAGGAAATTGTTAGAAAACCAGTGATTTAGCTCATTGAGACAGTCGGTGAGGATGGAGGGTGGGCGGGTGGAGTTTGGTTTGGTTGACAAGTAGAGCTGTGTGTCATCAACATAACTGTGAAAATGGACACCAAATTTACGGAAGATGTGACCTAGAGGAAGGAGGTAAATGATGAAGAGGAGGGGTCCGAGGACAGAGCCTTGGGGGACACCCGTGGAGACGGGGGATGACTGGGAACGAAAGGATTTGAGCTGAATGAATTGAGTGCAGTCAGAGAGATATGATTTGAACCAGTCTAACGGAGTACCTGAGATGCCAATGGAGATTAGTCTGTTGAGGAGGATAGAATGACAGATTGTGTCGAAGGCAGAATTTAGATCCAGTAAAATGAGGATAGACAGAAGAG